TAGTGACTAAAGCAAGCAAGCAAGAAAGGAAATGTGTATCCTGGCTAGGACCTGACCTTTCTGGACCTCTGTTTCCCTAGCTGTGGCCTTACCTGCCAATGACGTCCTTAGGGTCGTACTTCTGGTAAAATTCTTTGGCCGCAGCCCAGTCGGGCAGCTCATCCTCGGGGCCCACGTCCAACGTCATTCTGAAAGAGGTGGGGGCCTGTGAGGAGGAAACGGAGGGCAGTGAGGGCAGGGAGGCCCACAGGCTCTGAGAGGACGCACATCGCGACTCGCGGAGGCGCAGCCCTTGTGGCTGGGGAGCCAGGATGCTGGGGGATGGGGACGGGGTGGGGGAAGGATCGGGACTGGGGAGACCCCAGGAAAGGGCCTTAGGGATTGGGATGGGGTGGCAAGGCAGGGAGGGGGGCGGGGGAGGGGAAGGGAAAAGGTACAGAGGAAGAGGGGAAGGGGCACCCGGACGGGCGGCTGTTGCTGCGCAGGCGCACTTGGGCGGGCTCTGGGACGGGGCGCAGGGTCTCGCGCGGGCTCACCAGCGGGGGCGGAGAGAGAAGCCAGAGTTGATCAGAGGCTGCCCTGTCGCGAGGTTCGCCCCTAGCCTCTTACCTTACCCACAGGCTGCGCCGGCGAAGACCTCAGGCCCCGCCCCCATTCTGTTCGCCAATGGCCAGAGTCACCCAAAGACTGACGTTCAAAAATCCTTCGGATTGGAAACTGGTAGTCCAATAGGAAGCCGAGAGTCCAGAGGCTGGCCCGGGAGTTCGAGCTCTGAGTTTCCTAAGGCTCCGACGCTAGGGCGGGGCTTCATATACGGCCAATCAGGGCACGGTATCTGCTGGGACTAGCAGAGGGCGGAGCTTGTTCAGCAACAGGGCTAGAGGCCTGAAAACAGACCCGGAAATTAGGTTTACCGGTAAGTGTCACCTCCTGGTACCTGATACGCTGGCCTCCTTGGCCTTCCGATTCCCACCCGGACTTGGGCATGGTCTCCTAAGTCGCTCAAAATCACTGTCTGAATTTGGGTGTTAATAATGTTAGCAGCCTGGTCCAAAGCGCCTGCTTTGAGGGGCTGATTCAACCCCTTAAAATATTAGGCGCACGCAGCCTGATGCTGAACTTGGCTACTTGTATGAGCCACGGCCTTTCAGCCAGAAGAGGCTTTCTCATCCTTTGGATGCTCTGACTCGGATACCTCCAAATCCCTTACTGTTCAGGGTCTCAGGCGAGTCCGACCCTTTGCGATCCCATGGACTGCAGCACACCAGGCTTCCCTGTCTTTCACCATCTCCCCGAGTTTGCTCAAACTCATCTCTTCAGTTGGTGATTCCGAAACCCTAGTGCTATCTGGAAGACCATTTTTTCCGGTTTCCCACCACCCCCGCCCCAAAGCCTTGAGGAATATCACCCTTTTAAAAAGTTATTTATTTTTTTTATTTGGCTGCGCTAGATCCTAGTTGTGGCACGTCAGATCCTTGGTCTTTGCAGCATGCAAGAGCTTTGTTCTGGGGCATGTGGGATCTAGTTACCTGACCAGGGATTGCATTTGAGCACACTGCGTTGGGAGTATGAAGCCTTAGCCACTGGATCACCAAGGAAATCCCTCGCTCTCTGTTCTAAGCTTACCAGGTTATCACTCTGCCAGGAGCGACTTGCTCCATAAGTTTTCTTAGTGCAGCTCAACCCTGACATTCACTTACTCATTCAACAAATATTTGTTGAGCATCTAAGCATTAGACTAACAGCAACAGAAAAAAATTCGGTCCCTACTCTTGTGGAGGTTATATTCCAGATAGAGGCAGAGAATTCATTCATTTTTTAACAGCTATCTTATTAAGAGAAATATAACTTTCGGATTGGGACCAAGTGAAGAGAAAAACGAATCCAAGTAACTTTTTAATGGAGTACTTTGACCATATACCATTTATCTAAAGACAGAATAACTCAAAGAAATCTTGTATTTTACTTGGTAGATTTGTTTTGTAGTATAATGGGACAATTATTTTGAAATTGAGCAAGTGAATAAACACATTGATGTAGTTGGCAGTCTAGGTTCTTACTGTGGGAATATTTGGAATGGGGAGAGAACCTTATGACTGAAATTGGAGGTATGATTTTAAGAATGATCTAAGATAGATAACATTAGCTATTTTCTAGCTCTAATCTGTGAAAGGCCCAAGGACCAATAGAGCCTGTCCAGTAGAGTGAGCACAGTTAGTGCCTAAATATTGATTTCAAAGCAACAGTCCTCAATAAAAGGAACCAGGGCTCCTTGGGAGAAATGGCCAATTCCCAGGCTAGAGCAGAGAAAGTACAAGATGAGCCTGGAATAATTTGTACCAGAAAGTAAATGAAGAAAGATGGGAACTTAAACACAAGAACCAGGTTGAAATCAGGGACAAAAAGGATAATGACACTGAGAGAGCTATGAGGGAGCCTTCTCATGTGCTAGAAATGTTCTCTTCACCTGATTACACAGGCGTGTTCACGTAAAAACATTCACTTAGTGCTCGCTTTGGCAGCACATATACTAAAATTGGAACGATACAGAGACTAGCATGGCCCCTGCACAAGGATGACACACAAATTCGTTAAGCGTTATATTTTTAACAACAAAATTCTGTAAAGCAATTATCCTTCAATAAAAAAAATTAAAAAGAAAAAAAACATTCACCTATTGGCACAGTAAGATCTGTGTACTGTAAGTAAATCATGCCATTATACCTCAACAAAACTATTTAAAAAGGTTAATGGCAGTAATGGGTATAATAAAGTGAATTTATTTTTTTAAATTTGCCAGCACGTCAAAAAGAACCTTTATTCTGATTTGAATAGCCTCTATGCACTCATGCTTTCTTGCCAGATGCCTTTGGAGCAGGTGCTTTCTGGGATGGAGCTAAAAATATGGAACGCTTCACGAATTTGCATGTCATCCTTGCGCAGGGGCCATGCTAATCTTCTCTGTATCATTCCAATTTTAGTATATGTGCTGCCGAAGCGAGCATTAAAGTGAATTTAAAAACAAATCTGAGGCCATACTGACACTAAAAATTATAAATAAATAAATGGAGAAAAAAACCCTTATAATAGAATGCCAACTTATAAATGTAGAAAGAATGACAAAGTTAAACAGCAACATAAGCCTTGTAATAACTGACTTGGGCAAAACAGGCATTAAAGTTATTGGGGAAAATTTGGTGAGGTATTTAAACATAACTTTTTCACTACAAAGAAAAAAAATTATCTTTACCTTGTAGAAATCTGACACTACCTTAGAACCAAGTTGTCAGTGTTACATCTGACATAAAAGGGCAAACTGACACATGTCTCTTGATGTGATGTATTCAGGGCATACAACTTATGTAATATGTCAGCCAAAAATGCGTAAGTCTGAATTCAATCACAAGAACCCAAATTAAGAGACATTCTACATACTGGCCCCACCTCAAAAATGTAATGAAAAACAAAGAAAGAAAGGATGAGAACCTACTAAAAATTGAATGCTGAAGAGCTGACAAACTAAATGCAATCCTTGTTCCACACTGAACTCTAAAGTAGAAACTGCTATAAAGTATGTTACTGGGACATCTGGCAAGTCTGAATATAGACTATTAGAAGATAATATTGTACTGATGTTAAACTTCTCGGAATTAAATCTAATTGCACTATAGTTATGTGAGAAAACATGTTCTTAGGAGATACAGATCACAAGGTATTTCCCTCAAATAGTTCAGCAATAACAATTATGAGTATTTAGAAAGAGGCTTCGCAGGTGGCTCATGGGTAAAGAATCTGCCTGCAGTGCAAGGGATGCACATTCAGTCTCTGGGTCAGGAAGATCCCTTGGAGGAGGAAATGGCAACCCACTCCAGTATTCTTGCAAGGGGAATCCGCATGGACAGAAGAGCCTGTGTCCATGAGGTCATGAGAGTTGGACACGACTTAGTGACTGAACAAGAAATTTAGAAAGATACAAAGCAAACGTGGTTGAGTTGTTAAAAAATATACATCTAGGTTAAGGCTACACAAGAGTTCATTGTACTATTCTTTTATTGTTCTATAGACTTGAATTTTTTTCAAAATAAAGAGATTAAAAAGTAGCAAGATCTCATGTAATCAGTTTGGGGGGGGATGGCATACTCCAGTAAACGGAAGCTGCTGATTAATCAAACACTAGATTTAATTTTTTTTGGTGTGAAAAATCTCCTAGAGTTCTCCTGATGCCCAGGCAGTGCCTCACATGAATTAAATCAGAATCTCAGGACTGGGGGGGGAGGGGGGGGGAGCAGGTGGTAAAACTCAGGAACAAGTTACTTTTTAAGGCTGTCCAGATTACATTTTGAAGTCAAGGTTCAGAACCACTGCTGTCTATATAGCTTCTACCCATTGTTATAGTTCTAATCTCTGGACAATGGAGTTCCTTCACTTTTCTTTCCTGAAACACTTTGGAACACTGAAAAACACAATCATGTGCCCCTCTCTCCCCCTTAATCTTCAATGTACAACATGGATAATTCCTTTAGGTACTCTGCTGGTCTCTATTGGTGAAATAAATTCCATTCCCAGGGTATATGTACTTCAAAAGATGTATAAGACTGTCTATAGCAGCATGATTCATAATATCCTAAAATGGGAAATGTTCTGAAAGTTCACTAACAGAAAATGTGTTAATTGTAATACAGTCATATAATGGAATGTGTGTGTTAGTTGCTGTCATGTCCAACTCTATGCGATCCCATAGACTGTAGCCCACCAGGCTCCTCTCTGTCCATGGAAGTCTCCAGAACACTGGAGTGGGTTGCCATTCCCTTTTCCAGGGGATCTTCCTGACCCAGGGATTGAACCTGGGTCTCCTGCATTGCAGAAGGACTCTTCACCACCGAGCTACCAGGGAGTCATATAATGGAATACTATAGAGTAATAAAAACTAGAGTTACAACAAATATTGATGAATCTCAGAAGCAGTGTTAAGTAAAAGAAGCAAGACATAAAAAGAATACATTTGATTTCATTTATATCATATTCAAATGCAGGCAAAAGCAAATGACATTGTTAGAAGTCAGAATACCTGTGGATAACAAATACAAAGTTACCTGTGGAAAGAAAGGAAGGCAGAGTGATGGGAGGGGTAGAAAGGAAGCTTTGGAGTGCTGACAAAGTTTAATTTCTTGACTGAATAGTGGTTTTTTCAGATGTTTTGTGTTAACTTATGAAGTTGTATATTTGTTTTCGATCTTTTCCTTTATGTACCTCACAATTTTAAAAATGTTTAAAATATTATCATAAGACCCAAGATGAAGGATATGGAAATTCATTATAATCATACAGGTCTCCACATACTGGGTGGTGGTTGCTATTACCCAATCCTTTCACTCCTCTCTCAGCTCTGGAACTAAACTGTCTAGGTTGAATTCCAATTATGCCACTTACTAGCTGTGTGACCTTGGAAAATCCGTGCCTTTTTCCTCAACTATAAAATAAGAACAACAGTACCTACCACTGAGTGATTTTGAGGTGTGAAGAAGAAACATAAAATGCTTAGAACACAGCCTGGAATATAGTCAGCACTTGATAAACAGCAGCTGCTGCTACGACTCTTGCTTTCTGGCCTCACAGTCTGTTGATAGGTAAGAGAGAAGTGTGGGGCTTTCCAAGAAGGGAGACTTATAGAAGAAGGAAAAAGTCGGGGGAGGAGGGAGGATCCTTTCCTCCTCTTGAAACTCCTAGGTAAGGGGAGATGCAGGCTTCCGCCATGATCACATGTTCAGTCTGGCTCTCACCAAGGGCCCAGGGAAAAGCAGGGGAACAACAATTAGACAGCAACATTTCACCACTAAAAAGATTTTTATTACAAAACAAATACTAATAAAATCAGGCCTGGTCTTCGACCTCCCCTCCTAGAGGCCCCTAGGATGGAGTAGACTGGGGGGAATAGGGGTTGGTGAGCACTGAAAGAATAGAGCAGGCTGACCTCCCCTCATCAGTCTCAGCTGCTGCCTTTTAGAAAAGGCTAAAGAGCTCTTCCAAAGCCCTTTGAGAGAGGCACCATCCTTCCAGCCCGGAAGTAACCACTGTTGGCACCAGACCCTCACAATACTGCATTGGAGGATCCAGGATGTCTCGGCTGACTCTCAGCAAAGGCCACCCAGGGTCACTCAGCCTGCGCGATGGCGTAGGAGACCAGCCATAGAAGCAGGGGGCCCAGAACGAGGACAGTGAGCCAGACGGCAAAGCTGGCCAGGATGAACCTCCGGGCCCGGGCCCCCCAGTGCACTGCCTCCTCCAACCGGCCTGCCTTATGCCGCTCTTCCGCCTGTGGGGGCAGGTTTTTGGTTAGGTTCTCCCCCCAAAATGCCCATTGCCCCACTCCAATCCTACATCCTCATTATGGCCCAGAATCTCACACCCATACACTCCACCTCCCTTTCCCGTTTCTTTCCCTCATGTCTCAGCTGCAAAGTAAGTTACCCAACTTTGCTCTGCCTCCTTTTCAGGATGGCTGTTGTTAGCTCAGATCACATACGGGAAAGTACTTTTTAATCATTTTATTCCTCATCCTTTTCTACTCATCTCAGTTTCATTCAGAACTTGGAATTCTTGGCAAGAAACAGTGAGCAATCTTACGAGTATTTCACTCATGTCCAATCAAATACTCCATTCTCATTAGCCCAAAGGCTAATCTCATCTTTTTCATTAAGGATTCTTTTTATGATTTTGCCCTAATGAAACCCACAAATTATTTTGATGATAAGAAAATAATTTCCGATAAAAATACAAGTAGGATAGAGGAAATGCCAGTATGATGTTTAAGTTAGCCTGTGTGGCCTTTCAAAAAGTACATATGCAGTTTCTGTCAGATATTTTGTAATGGTGAGGCTCATTCTAAAACTTCACAGCTTCTTCTGAATACCTACAGATTATTCCAATTACTGCTCAGCAGCCCTGAGTCTTGCCCCTTCCAATTCATCCTCTTTATAGGCCTTGACAGTGGATCTTACTGCAACACAAATCTGATCATATCATTTTCCTTTGCAAAAATCCTTGAGAGGCTCCCTAGTACTTCCTAGATAAAACTAAAACTGCCAAACACAGCACTGGAGGCTCCTGGGAATCTGGATCCTCTGGCTTTGTCTCTTACTATTTCTTACTGGTTCAGTCATACTGAACTAACAGTCCAGGTTGCCTTTGTATAGGATGCCCTTTTATCCTTATTCACTCATCCTTTAACATTATTACTTTCTTTTCACACCTGTAGGATGCCTTTCTGTCACCTATTCTCTCTTATACACGTACACGCAGTCACATACATATATCCTCCTAGTGCCCAGAATACCCTGCGCTTCGTCTATCATAATACAGATGAGCTACATTCTGTTAATAATTACCCATTTTCACAGCCATCTCTTTTGCTAGACTGTGGGCCCTTTGATGGCAGGAACCATGTCTTATTCTTATTTCTGGCACCAGGCCCACAGCCAAGCTCTGGCAGGTACTTATTAACTCATCAGGTCTGAGTTAACTCATCAGTGTAGACAGATCAGGTATACAGAACCACTGCCTTTCTACATCCACACCCCTGCTCCCATAGGAATTGCATTCCTCACCTTGATGGCAAACACAAGGGCCACTATTCCCAGGCAAGAGCAGCCACATATAATGCTAGTAGCTGCTAAGCAGCGGAGGCGGAGCCAGCAGCAGCGAATGGGGGATGGAGAACAAGCAGCTTCCGTGTTGCACACCAGGCTCTCTGCTGCATTCTCCTCGTCCTCCATCACCTGTGGGCGATACAGTCAAGATACTTGTAAGCCCAACAACTGAACTCTCAGCCTGCCTTGCTCAGACTCTCCCCCTCTCCCTAATCATACTCTGGCCTAGCCAAACTCTCAGGAATGCTGCCTTACTGGGGAATTCCCCTAGTGACTCACAGACCAAGACAGGAAATGTGTGTCTGGAATCTCTTCCTCAGCCTAAGGTTCCCAGCCTTCAAAGGCAAAGTGGTGGGAACACAGCATTATCTGTATTACTTACTGTTTTGACAAGTGGGGAAAAGCAAAGTGACAGGTACACACTGAGAGGCAGTAGAGAAACAGTATCTCAAAAGGCTGCTACTATCTCAGTCTACCCCAGGCAGTGATTTTAAACTGTATTTCAAAGGGCCCTGAAGTTCCTTAGAGGCTGCCCTCAAATATTAAGGAGGGATCAGAGAATGGCACCCTAAAGCCTGTACTCCACCTCAAGGAAACCAGTCATTTCACATGAAAACACTATCCTGAGGCTGGGGAAAGGAGAGGAAAAGCATCACTTAAGCTCTCTTTATAGCTAAGGAAACTCATCACCAGAAAGACCTCACCTCCCCATATCAGAGCCTCCCTTGCTATGGAGACTCCCTTCCACCTCCTCTCCCCATTTTAACCCAGGTTACACAACACAATCAGTTAAACACTGAGTCCAAATGACCTCATAACCCACACAGAAACCTGCATAATGATGCCCTACTTAATCATTTCTCATCTCCCCATTTCCCAAGCTCTCAGAGGTCTGGCATCAAACCACCTTTCTACCTTCACCCCCAACCATTCCCCACACCCTAGACAGAATGAAACCATTTGCAGTTCTCTGAACACAAGTAACAAAGGATAGGAAGGATGAATGAGAAAGAGGGAAGACAAGCAAGGAGCCAAGAATGCCTTGTACCACAAAGCTGCAGAATGGATGTGAGGGAGGAACTCAGACTCGGTACACACAGTCATCAGAACACAAGGAGAGGGTCCAGTGAATTGAGATCAGAGAAAATGAAACAATGAACCGGGACTCTTACCTGGCGATAGGCCTTGAGGAACTGTTTGAGTTTCGGCTCCTGCTTCAGGTTTGATTTGGCTTGGGTGGAGATGGAGCTGACTCAGGGCTCCAAGCCAAGCCCAGGGGTGGGGTTCAGTGGCCAGCCACCATCTGAAGATCCCCAGAAGCTGGTAGGGGGTGTGGCTGATTCAAACCAGTCTGGCTAGATGGGAGGAAAAGCAAGGGAAGGCAAAGGATGGAGTAACTGGAGGTAGGATGCCTGCCTTCTAAAGAGGGAGTGAAAGCACCTGAGCAAGAGGGATTAAAGCAGGGAAAAGTCTGAGGCATCAGATAGCCCCAAGGGAAGTCCAGGAACCAAGGGAACAGAAGAAAGAGAAGTACGAATCTGAATGACTTAAAATTGAAACCTTAGGGAAAGGTACCCTACCAGATCAGATTTGCCTTGCTCCCCTTTCTTGGGTGGCGACTTCTGCCTCAAAGACACAATTCTGGGTTAGAGATCAAGTACTAGGGTCTTAGCAAGAGAGGAGAAAAACGATACCCAAGTTCCCACCCAGCCCTCCACCAGACCAGAAAATCAGAAGCCTCCTTACGCGGATGCTCATACAGAAACTAAGTTTATTATTTTTTTCTTCTTAAAAAAAAAAAAAAAAAGAAAAACTCATTGTAGAGAAGCCCCTCCCCCTTCCCCTAAGGGTGGTGGGGGGGGCCGTGAAAGATAGCTGGGAACATCAAGTACAAAGGGGTGGGGACAGAGACTATCTTGCCACCCTTAACACTGCCCAGCCATGTGGGGTGGAAGGGAAGGGGATGTGTGAAGAGCCCCGTTTCCATGACAACCAGATGCCTACCCCCTACTTTGGTGGAAAGAAGGGAGAAGGCCCCTATGTCTCCCTGGAGGATTTCCCCTTCAAAAGACTTCAAGTAGTGGTTAACAGAGTCAGGCCTGGTCATGGAGAGAGAGGGGCTGTGGCAGAAAGCCTAGGTGAAGAGGACAGGCCACTCACGTCTTGGCCTTGCGGCCTCTGTGACTAATAGTAGGGCCAGCCAAGTGGGGAGGGGCGCTGCTGCGCAAGATACGCTGGTCCCCTTGGGTGGTGGCCCCACCAAGCCGGCGGGGGCCAGGCCGGCGCCGTGGGGTCCCATCCCCTTCCTCCTCCTCACCTGAGGCTTCGGCCTCAGACTCCTCTACTGAACCCTCAAGCCCCAGGGGACTTGGGGGCTGTAGGCGGGTCCGCTTTGCCAGCCCAGGACCACTGCTGACTGGGGCCCCTGCCCGTTTGCGAGGCACCTTCTCAGTCTCTAGAGGGGGAACTAGAGACCCTGGACGCAGCCGAGTCGAGCGCAGTTTTGGAGCTAATGAGACCACGGGAGATGTCAATTCTAACCCGCCTGGCCCACTATCTGCTAAATCCAGGTCATCCTGAATTACAGCCACCACCATGGACCCTTCACTCTTTCGTCCCCGCATTCCCTCTGCTTCAAGACGTAAGCGGGCCAGGCGGGTGAGGGGGCGGCTTCCATCCTCATCAGATGAACTACCCTCACTCTCCCCCTGGCCCTGGGGTTGCCGCTGCTTCCCCAATCCACAGCTCTCGAGGACAGAAGAGCTGTCGCGGTCCAAGACAGGGAGCTGGCTGGGCCGAGGTGATGGTGGATTCTTGGGAGGTCGGCCTCGCTTCCGCTTGGGTGGGGACGTTGAAATGGAGAGAGTGGTGACAGTGTTGGCGACAGTAGCAGTGGGACAGGAGAGGAGTGATGGGAGTGGTGGCAGGGGTGGTGGTAGCGGGAGTGGCTGTGTCCGACTCTCTAAGTTGCCATCCCCTGGAGAGGAAGTGGTCCCAGGAAGGGGCAGATCTCGGGCCTTAGGGGGCCGCCCACGCCTTCTTTTCTCCACAGGTGATAGGATGATGGGCTCGGGTCTGTGAACTGGCTGGGGTCCGAGAGGCTGGGGCCCAGGAATAAGCTGGGGTGAAAGGACAGGCTCCGCAACAATAAGGGTCTCAGCCCCAGGGACTGGGTCAGCCCCATTGGTTTTTCCCTTAGAGGTGGATGAAGGTGCCTCATCCACCCCTCGCCCAGCATCCGCTGGAGACCTGTTCTTCTTGGGGGGCCTCCCCCTCCGACGTTTCACAGCAGGAGGGGTGATGGCAAGCAGTGCCCCTTCTCCATTTTCTGAGCTGCCCCCACCAGTTACCCCCAGCTCAATGCGACGGCGAGCTATGAAGGGCTGCTGGATTGGAGTGGGCAGTGTGGATGCGGGAGCAAGTTCACAGGGACCGCTGGTGGGAGGTGAGGATTCTGGCCCCGACATGCTGCGGGCTGACGGGCTTCCTGGGCTGGTACCAGTCTCAGAGACCCCAGGCACAAGGGTGCTGGCAGTACCCCGCTGCTGCCGCCGTCGCCTCACCAGTTCCTTTTCCTCTACCACAGTCACCAGCCGTCCTGGCAGCTTGCGAAGCACTTTGGGACCTGGAGGCTGCCCTGGCCGACCAGCCCCTTGACCCCTAATTTCTACATCTGCACTGGTGCGACGCCGAGGGGGCCGGGCTGGTGAAGAACCCTCAGGTGTGGAGGTGGCAGAGGATGAGGTTGACGGGCCTGTGGCCTCAGCTGAAACAAGTTCCTGTGGTTTCTCTGGAGTAGAGGTTGGGGTCTGGGCCTCCACCAGCTCTTCCGAGTTCTTATCAGTCTCCAGTGGCTCTGGAAGTAGCTCATCAGATGCTGCCGAGGGTGGGAGCTCCAGCCTATTGCTCTCACTCAGACACGTGGGCATTTCCTCACCATCAGGCAGCACTGAGAGGATGGTCGCCTCGGCAGGCTCGGGCACCTCCTGCTCTTGACCGTTGGGGACGCTGCCAGCCGCCAGGGTTGGGCTAGGTGCAGAAGAGGTGAGAGAAAGGTTCTTCTCTGACACAGGCAGGATCTCAACAGCAACTGGCAACAGATCCTTAGGGGGCACAAGAGTAATTGGGGAAGTCTCGGAACTGGCCACATCAGCCAGCTCCAGGGACTCAGTAGATGCCATTGCTTGTGCACACAGCTCTGCCTCAGGCCCCAGGCCCAAGGGGAGGTTGGTGACTGGCGGCGAAATGGGCACAGAAGGTAGGCCAAGCAGAAGGGGAGAGGAAGGAGTTAAGAGAGAAGTTTGGGCTGGAGGTGGGGTTTGAGCTGGTGGAGGAGTACAGGCAGGAGGAGGGGTACAGGCAGAAGAACAAGAGGGAGGAATCTGTGCAGAAGGGAGAGGCGGAGAAGGCAAGATATGGACAGGAAGCATGGTTACTGGGTTTGGGGCTGAAATGGGGATTGGGGGAGAGATTGGGACAGGGATTGGGGCAGGAATTGCTGCAGGAGCTGAAGCTGGAGGGGGTCGAGGCCTAGGTGCTGGCCGGGGAACTCGTTCCCTGGCAGGGCTGCAGCGAGGGGGTGTGGAAGTGCTGCGGGTATGATGGGTGGATGGGACAGGAGTGTGGTTTGCCCCTTGAGTTTCAGCCCGGGCTCCACGAAGACGCTCACTGACGCGAGTCCCTGGCCTTTCAGGGGCCTTGGCCTTCTTACTGCGCCGGTGGCTGCCTCCACCAGTCCCACAGGAAACCTCATCCCCAGCCCCTGGCCCCTCCTCCTCCTCTTGGGGTAGGCGGAACACCTCCTCCTTGGCTTGGTCCAGGTCCTTGCGGGCAGCTTCCACTTGCTCCTATCAAAAACAGAGCCCAAGGACTGGTCAGAGGGAGGCAAGTAGCAGGTAGAGTAGGTGGAAAGCAGTCACTTTCCACTTCTATCCCCACCCTCAAGAAATACTCACTTCTGCCTGCTTGAGCTCCTCTCGGCTCACCTCCTCCAGGGAGGCTTCCAGGAATTTCATGGCATAGCGCTCAATGGGGGTCAGCTGTGGGAAAGAGCAGTGGTGATGAAAATAGCAACCTGGTGCCCAGGGCCCATCACTCATGATTATTTTCACCAGAGAAGACAGACAGTCACAGAGTCCAGAGGAAGGGGCTATGGAGGGTGAGGCTGAGAACTAGTGGATCCAACACCAACCTGTTCTACAAGGGCAGCAATTTCCTGCTCAGCCCGGGACATTTCCTCATCTTCAGCCCCAGGCCGACCAGCCTCCTCTCCCTCACCAGCAGGAAACCCATCATTCTCATTGAATTCTGCAAGCTCAGCAACCTGCTCCGCCTTGGCCTGGGTGGCCGCACGAATATCCTCTTCATCCTCTGCTCGACACAATGCCTACAAGGGTGTGGGAAAGAAACACCATGAGAAGTTCTTTCTTTACATCCTGTGATTTGATTCTGGCAAATGTTTGAGGCCAGATTTACACCAAAGCAGATTTACACCATAACTCAACTCTCTTCTGGGCCCCCCAAATTACCAAAGCAACACAGTGGTCCATGTAGGATACAACAGATTCAACCAGGAGTCCCATCAGGGACAAAATAACTATTTTTGTGACCTCTATTCTACTTACTTTCCATTCAAGTCAGCCTCATATCTTTTTAAAGCAGCAGTTTTTTTAATACAAAATAATCCATAATTCTTTTTTACACTGAGACGCCTCAGGACAACAGACAATATCTGATCATTCCCCTGAGATGAATATCCAGAGAGATCACACCAAAGTCACTGAGGGAAGTAGCCTAGAGCATAAGAGGACTGCATGTGGTAGGGAAAATTTTCTCCATGATAATCCACACCAGTAGGTTCTAAGCATCTGTCTACTTCCAAAAAACTACAAATGCCCAGACCTCACCCTTAAAAATCATGATTTAAATAGAAAGACTGTGAAACAGGGCCCAGGAATCGATCTTTTTCAAAGCCTTCCAAATGATTCTAGTACGCATTACTGTTTGAAAAAAGAGTTTTACACCATATACAAAGCAATTCTTAATCCGCTATGCCATTTAACCCTCAGTTACTTCCTTCTAATTTAGCATTTCAGAAAAGTGGGAATTGAGGCTCAGAGGATTAAATGGATGTAGCTTAACAGACACTATCAAGAAGCACTGTTGGAATTCAAACCTAGAACCGTGGTTCTATCTATGAAATCAGGTGAACCAATAAGCAATCTACTCACAAGTATCAACGGTGAACTGTAATCTGGGAAGCAGCAGAAACAGTTCTTTCTCCTTGCACAAACTCAAGAGATTGAAAGATGACACACACTATAACCATTAGCTCTACTCTAGGGACTGTCCACTCTTTTTTTGCAGGGCAGGATCTCAGTTCCCTGACCAGGTATGGAACTTCTACAGTGGAAG